GGTATCGGACTGTTCGTTTAAAATTAATTCTCGCGTTTTCTATCTTTATTGTCGGCAGCGTATTCTTGAAGTCGACGCTTTTTCTACCGTTAGACTTTCGCTTTCTATCCGGTCTGTCTTCTCGTCTTTCGATTAAGAGTGTCCCCAAAGTTTCGGAACGGCCAAATATTTCAAAAATAAATCACTTAAGAGAAAAATGTTTCCTGCAAAAGTTGTAGGATTCAAAATAAGATACTTGACGATGAGGACACTCTTATAATTTGACCTCTATCCTCTATATTTGATCCTCGTGTAAAGGTCAAATTATCTCATTACCAGATATCTCTTTTGTACGCTAAAACACTCATGCAACCATTTTTATTTTTTTAGAAACCGACTCCAATTGCTTTGCAAAAAAATTATTTTGGCCTTGAAATAACTCCCGAAGGTCATTTTAATCCTTCTTTATGACCACATGTTTCAACGTGACATTTCCGTTCTTTCCAATTCTGATATCAAAAATAGATAGTCCTATTAAAAAAAAATCAAGTTGTCTTTGATTTGACCTCTTAATTTGACCTCAAGATCAAGTTCAAGAGCACCATCAAGTGCGCACGTTCAAATTCTAAAACTTTTGTATTTAACATAGGAAGTATGAGAAATTAGAATGATACAATTAAAATTAATAAAGATAAACATTTTGATGTTAAACGCAAGAATTAAAATTTACATACTTTCTTAATAAAAGCGCAGTTAGTTGACTTTGTTGTCATTATTAAACAATGTGATTATATCTGAATTTTTAAAACATTTGAAAAAACTTTTGAAAGAAAAAAACTGCATCTTATCGTTATGATGGATCGTCAAAAACTGAGTATGTAGAGTTTATGATTTTTATAATTATGTCATCGATGTTGTTTAAATTCTCTGTGTCTTTATGTAGGTTAACTGTATTATTAACTTTTTTGATAAAAAACATCTCTGCGATTTCTCTCTTTTTAACATGTTTTTTATTATGTAATATAACGGGTGATACCCAATCAAATTCATGTCCCAACTCTTGTCTATGTTTGCTTATGACCGAATGATTTGTTACATGTAATTTTATATTGTTAAAATGTTCTTTTATACGAGTACGCAAATGTCTTTTTGTTTGACCGATATATGAAGAATCACAATTTTTACAGTCAATTTTATACACAACATTAGTTCTATTGTCGTTAGGTAATCTATCTTAAACAAGATAGAAGAGAGTTTAAACAACATCTATGACAAAATTATAAAGGTCGTATAAACTCTACATACTCAGTTTTTGACGATCCTCCATTATAACGACAAAATGCGGTTTCTTTCTTTCAAAAGTTCTTTCAAAAGTTTTTTCAAATGTTTTAAAAATTCCGATATAATTACATTGTTTAATGATGACAACAGTGTCACCTAACTGCGCTTTTATTAAGAAAGTATGTAAATTTTAATTCTTGCGTTTAACATCAAAATGTTTATCTTTATTAATCTTAATTAATTGTATCATTCTAGTTTCTCACTTGAAAAGGACCAAAAACAAATGGTCGAAACGTTGTGGAAATAAAATAAAAATTTTCTTTGTGTAGTTTGGGTCAAATTTAATATATCGTTCCTATTTTAAATATCACTAGCGACGTTTTAAGCATTCAATTTGATTTTTAACATTTTTTTAAAAACGTCATCCTCACGAGATATTCAGAAGTACCCATACTTTTGACAAACCTTGTATGTAGCATTCATCATCCACACCTTTCATTTACACTCTACACTTTTATTACACCTTACACTTTTCACTGCACTTTTACACTTTTTACATCTTTATACATTTGTAATAACTTCAATTCATTAATTAACATAATGTTTTTAAGAAAAATCAATATTTCCATAACAACACATTCATTCATTTATTTGTTATATATTAATTCTTTTTGTCTTTCGCTTTATACTTTCAATGAATAAACATTACTTTCTTAAAAGATCTGGTGAATTTATTCATAAGTCGCTACATGTATATGTATATGTATTTGAAAAATAGTTTGAATAATTAATAACAAAAGAACCGTTGGAGATGGAGGCTTGTCCTTTTGTACAAACGTGAGTGTTAACATCACGCACCTAAGGCCCGAGTTGCAGCCATTTATGTCTGCAAATATTGTTAAAAAAGAATATTACATTTTAAAAATTAAAAAATTAATAACAAATAAACCGCGCAAGATGGAACGTTCTACTTTCGCAGAAACGTAGATGGCGAGGCCGTCCTCCGATTCTCCGAGTTAGAATCCCTGATGTCGACAAAAAGCAAAAAAAGAAATAGTTACTACTTTTTGAAAAAATAATTTGAATAATTAATAACAAAGGAACTGTTGGAGATAGAAGCTTATCCTTTTGCACAAACGCGAGTGCCAACGACATCACGCACCGAAGGCCCGAGTTACAGCCATTTATGTTTGCAAATATTCTTAAAAACGAATATTACATTTTGAAAATTAAAAAATTAATAACAATTGAACCGTGCAAGATGGAACGTTCTACTTTTACGGGAATGTATATGGCTAGATTTTCCCCCGATCCTTCGATTTAGAGCCCTTGTTGTCGATAAAAATAAAAATAATAGTTAGTTTCTTGGCTTGTGTTTAGTATTACCTCCCACCGACAGATGGCCTGACGGCGGAATGCCTTTCCGTAGTTAAGAAACCGTCAGCAAATTATATTAGTCGATCAAGCCTTCAATACTTACATTTGTCGATCTTAGTTTTTTTTATATATTTTGCGGATTCAATATTTCGCAGTTGGTATATAATTCTAAAAGTTTTGATGGTTTTTAATTTTTGTTACGTTATTTATAATAACTTGTTTTTCACATTTTAGTTTACATCTCTCCATCCTTTTTAAAAATGTTTGCAGATATTTTTAAGTACAATTGCTCTGTTAAACAATAGGTTTGTTCTTCTTGCTTACACGAAAAGTGTATAGTGTACACTTTTACTCCGTCCAATTTTTGAGAGTGGGGGTAACGTCGTGTAAATTCAGTGTAAAGTGTAAGCTTTTCAACGAGAACGCCGAAGTGTAACATCAAGTGTTTATAAATACGACAGCTATTTGTGCATAGTGTTCATATTTAAAGTTTTAATAAAAAAGTGGAATTTTATTGTTTAAAATTTATTATTGGTTATATTGTTACAATTATCACAAAATGATGAATGAATTAAATGTAGAAATTCTTAATCACATTTTGGAGTCGGAGTCTGAATCTGATTTGTCATCCGATGAAGAGGATTTTGACGAGATTGTTCCTGAACCACCTGTTTTATTTGCTGCAAATAATGGTAAGATAGTTAAATAATTTTTTACTTACTACATGTGAGTACATTTAACCACTGTTTAAAGTAATTTAACCTATGTAATCTAACCTCAAAACATTGTTTTTTAGATGAAGACATTGGACAATTATTAGAGCCAGTATTAGGAGTTGTTTAAAGAGTACATCACGTAAAAATTCTAAATTATATTGAAAATGTTGTACATTTATACACTGAGAGTGATTTCATAATGCACTTTCGCTTATCACGAGAAGTGACCAATGAATTGATCAATCGTTTTGCAGCATCTCAAATTTTTTTGGCATTACAAGGTTAATTATATCATAATTATGAGTTCCACATACATTAATATTATTTATAAATAACATATTTTAGTTGCATAATTTTATGAATATAATATCTTATTATATCTATGTATGTTATCACAGCTTATGCAGGCTACGAGCCTATTTCTCCAGAGAAACATATCATAAGTTTTCTTTGGTACGTTGGACATGAAAGCAGTGGCTATCGGGATGTAGCAGATAAATTTGGGATTACCATAAGTGCGCTGTACAATGTTATATCCCGGATCACAAATTTTTTAATATCTCTTGCACCAAATGTCATCAGATTTCCTACAATGCAAGAGAGAGAAGCCATTAAAGAACATTTTCTACAAATGCAAAACAGATTTCCTGGAGTAATAGGTATATTTCAAAAGTACTATTTTCATACATATAGAATTTCGATTATTTCATTACTAAATAATTCATTATTACAGGTGCCATAGATGGATCGCACATTCGAATCGACAAACCAATAGAAGACAAAGATTTGTACATAAATAGGAAACAATTTTTTTCCATTCAGTTACAAGGCATTGTGAACCACGGACAAAAGTTTATGAATGTGTTTATCGGTTACTCTGGATCGGTTCATGATGCAAGAGTTTTCAGGGAATCGCCTGTGTACAATAGACTGAATGAACTTTGTGGAGGTTTGTGACGTAATTTTTTTTAGATTAAAATAATATCAAAATGTATATTCGGATGCTATTGTAAAGAGACTTAGTGTACAATCTTTTACTGAACCAATTTTTTTAATTTGCAGAAGATGGATACTTGCTTGGAGATAGTGCGTATCCCTGTTTACAACGGTTGATTGTTTCGTATAGAGATAACGGACATTTGACACGAGCTCAAATCAATTTTAACCAAAGATTGAGTTCATGTCGAGTTATTATCGAAAATGCATTTGGTAATCTGAAACAGCGATTTCGTCAATTGTACCATTTTAAGTTACGAGACATTGTTCGAATGGTTCAGGTTGTGCATGCATGTTGTGTTTTGCACAATATGGCGAATGCTAATGATTTACAGTTATTTGAACCACCTCCCGATGAAAATCAACCTGATCCTGATGCTGTAAATGCACTGATTAATATGGTTGGAGATAATGCAATACCGCAGGATAATCAACAGGGACGAGAACTTAGAGATGAAATATGTAGACAACTCGCAGCACAATAAATGTCTCAATTATTGTACATTCTATTTAAATAAGAATTATGTAAATTTATCTTTTAAAGGCCTTATATATTATATTATTTGTGAATTATAAATAATAAATGTGTTTTCAATAAAAATCCTTATTTCATATTAATATAAAAATTCTTTTATTAAATTGTTCCATTAAATCAACAATAAACAATAAACTTCACAAATATAATACAAAGCTGTTTTCAACACTGTACAAGAAATGTGGAAACGCATAAGTAACGAAATGAAAAACTAAGGATATGACGTGACTGCAATACAAGTGGAAAATAAATGGAATAAAATAATATAATCGTCGGCTAAATTTACTGAAAAGAAGAGTCGCCACGTCACACTGGTTAATTTTTTAAAAATAAATTTAAAAATTCTTTCAATGAATTTTTTTTTCTTCCAATAAGTCGTTTCTTCGTTGTCTTTGTTGAATAGTTTCCTTTCTGTGGTTTTCTATTGCGGTCAAATGTTCTTCTTGTCTATCTTTTATTGATTTATAGGTTTCCAGGATTTGTGATAACATTTTATCTTGATTTTCATCGCGTTTTTCGAGTGTCTTCCTGTATTCTTGCATCTCTTTTTGGCACTGTTGCAATGCCTTTGCCGTTGTTCCAGTGGCGATTCTTTTTTTAGCAACAGCAACGAGGTTGGCATTTTCAGGTACGGTTACTACTTCACTTTCATCAGCCACAGGCATATCTTCAGGTTCCTCTCTTTTTTCTACGTTTGATGTGGTTGGTAATACAATTGTTGTCGATACTGGCATTAAAATCGGCGCACTAAAGTTAAAAAATAAAATTAATTTTCAAAAATTAATGATAATATATGAAAATATATGAACAATTTTCAAAATATGCAATAATAAATATACTTAAATCACAATTCATAGATGATATTAGTATTTACGAAACAAACCTGTTATTCAATAAAGTCCTGAGATCTGATATACTATTTCGGACCATTACTCTTATTTCCGGACCCGCCACAGCAAGTGGAACTATTTTGTGGCTCTTTCCCAAAATTTCTGTCAGTTCCCTGTAAAAGCATGTAAGTAAAAATAAAGCATCAATTTATTATGATTTATTATTATTTCAATTTTAGCTATACGTAAACGTTTGGTAACTACAGGTAATCCGCCCTCTTCCTGTCTTATTATTATTGGAAATAACTTTTTTATATTGTCTTTCTAAAGTCTTCCATTTATTTTCCACTTGTATAGGAGTCACGTCGTATCCCGAGTTTCTCATCTCGTCGCTTATACGCTTCCACATTTCTTTAAAATTTTTAATTCTTCTAGAACCAACTAATTCTTTCTTCTCCTTGTAGAGTGATAAAAATAGTTTGGTATTCGCATCATTTCATGTAAAAATTTCAAAATTGTGTTGAATGACGTTTGGCTTCTGATTTTCTTGATTGGAAATGTTAGTGTCCGGTGTGTCTATTGTTCTGTGTGTAGATGTTAATACTATTAAAACTTTTTCGTTATCCACAGTACATGTAATGGGTGGACCATTCAAATCTATTTCGGAAGTGTGTATTTTAAAAGTTAGCCCACCTACAAATTAACATGATACACATGTAAATAAAACAATTAAAAATGTATACATACAATTAACAAAACACATATGTAAATAAAACAATTAAAAATGTATACATACTGTCGGTTTGGCATGTTATGTAACCTTCTTCATCAATAATTATTGATTCATCGGCATTTCGAAATACTATTGCCGTTTTAGGCACTTATACGACTTCTTCCATTGTAAAAAATAAAATTAGGAAGCAATCGTGGAAACTATAACCTCTTAGTGTAACTTTACACTGCGTACACCACCTCTCAGGCTCGTGTAAACCAGTGTAAAATTCGTCATAAAAGTGTGATCCACTTTTCAAGACGAACAGCGTGTAATCCAGTGTAATCGCACAACTCTACGTCATTTCCGACAAGAAGAACGCCAAAGTGTACACTTTACACGATAGTGTACGAAGTGTAAGCAAGAAGAACAAACCTAATGTTCTAGGTTTTAAATCTTTTTACGCATTTTTTAATTGTTTAAATTTGTATTATATAAGATTCTATTTATTGAAACGTCTTAAGTTCAGTTGCACCAATGTCACTACAGTTCTTCGCTTAATTAAAATGCGTTTACAGTAAGTGTTGCTTAAAATTCGCTAGCGTTCCACAGTTGTTATAGAAGTAATATCACAGTATATACAATAGCACAACTCTCTGTCGGCACCTTTGATGTTTGTGTAACATAAAATGGAGTACGCATGCGCGAAATCAGCGAGTATAACAGTACTGCCATCTGAACTTTTTTTTCACTCTTTCTTCATTTTTGCTCTCTTTTTAGTATATTACTACATGTAAAATAAATTAATTTTAATAAAAAATTATGTATATATAAGATCAAGTTGTTAATAATGTTAATGTATGATATATATAAAGCAAATGTTATAAATATTAATATTTCATTTAAAGCGCAATCACACTTTTTATTATAAAATAAGACTGTATATATAAATTTAACATATATAAGACAGGCTATAAGACTGTATACTTAATATTAAGATTTATAAATGTTTCACATTTAGAAGTTTCCTATTTTTCTTACTAATGCTTTTGCATGATTTATTATGCTGTGTTAATGTAAAATATATACACGTACGTAAAAATAATTTTATCAAAAAATTAGTAAAAAAAATCTTGGCATAGCAATTCAAAAAGTATAGTTTGCACTAAATAAAAAAGATAATTGCCAATATTTCTTTTAAAACAATTATTTTCAAAATTTTTTACAAATAATTCTTCTAATTGATGGATTTAAAAACAAAAATTGCTATTTGGTATGTTTAAATTGCCATATAAATTATTTTCTTCATTAGAATAAGCTCGAAAAGAACAATATAATATAGTGTCCTCTAAAACAGCGTTATTTTCATTTACATATAATATACATGTATTACAGGAATGAATTTCCATACACTTTTTAATCAAACATCCACACACATATGTAAACGCATTCTCCTCTGGCAGATCCATGGAATAGTAATCATGGTTTGGGATATCTAAAATTTTACGTGGCAAAAGTGGAATAGTTTGATTTAAACATTTACTTGAACACGGCTTCTTAATAAAATTTAACATTTGGTAATTATCATGAGCACAATTTTGAGATTCAGAATGCTGTAGAAATTTAATACTGAGTAATTTTTTAAAGGCACGCATAAATTGAATCGATGTCGGATTCAGAGAATTACCACCTTGTTGCATAATAGTATCAAAGAAATTTTCGACACAATTTTGATTAATTCTTCGTGTTCGAAGATAAGGAAAATTAAAAATTTTAATTTTTTATCCCATAACTGCATTATACTATTAATTGTAATCTGCCAGCACTGAAAACATTTAATATTTACATTAACACGTGAACCGTTGGCATTAATTATTGTAATATATTTGAAAAGATGTAACATTTTCTCTAAGAACTCTTTTTGTTTCTCACTACCAGTATAAATTTCTCCATATTCTTTTGGATTATTTAAAGCAAATGAATTTATAATATCAAATAATTTATCTAATTTTTCAATAAGTTCTATTATGCCAACTGCTTCACTTGGAAGAAAACCAAACGACATTTGCGTGCATATACCTGCAGCTACCCGATTGCTAAATATTTGGACAGCATATTTTACTTTCATTCGTTGAAAGGAATTTGGTTCAATATGATATTTTGTTAGATGAGGAGCCATTTTTATTCATTGTTTAGAATCTCTATTATAAAATTGGATTATATGATTTTATGAAGCAACTTTATTATCAAATTTAAAATTATATTTTAATAAATTATTACGAGTTGCTTTCATTAAATAAGGAGTATCAAAAATATAAAAAATTTCCTCTTCATTTACTAAAAATGTTGAATTTTCTGTCGAAATACCTAATTCACGGGATAGCTGCATAAAATTAGACCCCATATCAGAAACCAATGCATGCACAAAAGCACCAGAATTTCTAAATTTTATAATAGGCGATTTTTGGCAACTGTTTGGTACATGTACCGTGGTTGTTATTGGTAGAGGCGGAACTATTTTTGGTATAGGTACCAGCAACCATGTCACTAAAACGTGTTGATTTTTTTCTATACGCGCAAATTCAAAACTGTCAAATAATTTTTACTGTTGTATGTAAGTGTGAAGTAGAGAGACATGAGTTTCAAAGTATTTTTAACTATTTTAATAAATGAAATGTATAATGACGATAAAGATAATCAAGTTATAACAGAAATATATGAACAGTTTTTTCACGCAAGAAATGCAAAAAAAAAGGAAAATATTAAATATGTTAGAATTAAAGGAAAAGCAAAGTTATATTCGTCCAGCATTATCCCTACAGTAAAATCTCTGTGATACCAGGAAGTTTGCCGAAAATCGCGATCCCATTGTTGCCGCTTTATTCCGATCGTGATTGGTCGTGGCGACGCGATCGATCTCGCGACGCAAGTTGACGTGAAGTGCGCGACGATGAGCGATGCAATGTTCGTTTGACAGCTTGCAATTTTGAATTAAAAATAATTAACTATAACTATAATTATTATATAATCTTAACTACAAATAAGATATTATATAATCTTAACTACAAATAAGAACGTAAAAACAATGTAGAAAATGATAATCTTTTAGTATTTAAAAAATATTTAAAATATTGACATTTTTTTATAATTTTATAATAATTCATAATAATTTTATGACTTTAGCATAATTTAATCAATAATTTTAGCAATAATTTATAACTTAAAATTTGAATCAGTATAGATATTTTAATTTTATACTGTGCGTGCGTGCGTGCGAGTGTGCGTGTGTACGTACATGTGTATGTGCATGTGTGTGCATGTGTGTGCATGTGTGTGTATGTCTGTGTATATGTGTTTGTGTGTGTTTGTGTGCGCGTGCGTAAGTACGCGCGTGTGATAAATAATTATTTAATTAAAAATTAATTATATATTTTTTTGGAATTTTTTTATCAAAGATTTGTAGCATTTTATCAATAAATACATCATATTTTACACACATAATTATTCACATTTATTTACTATTTATTTAATTTGATTATACGTAATTACAACTAAAATAATTAAGTAGAATTATTATATATATAATTTTAACTACAATTTAGAATGTAAAATACAAAAAATACGTCTTTTAAATATTACCAATATTGATAGTTTTTATAATTTTATATTTATAGTAAAATTATAATTTTAGCAATAACTTATAATTTTAAATTTTTATTAATTTATATATTTTAATTTTATTTAATTAAACATTTCTTTATTTTAATAAAATAATTTTTTTTATTATAGCGAAATAACATATTATGTCATTATTCAAGTAAAGAAAGAAATTATATTTTATGACTGTATTATTGATACTCTGAAAAATATAAGTATAATATAATATAATGAATAACTTTTTATAGTCGCATATTAGCTAGAAAGAAATTCAGAATTTGAATAAGATAAAATTATGGAGATAATTATTTAATTGAAGATCATTTATTTATTCTTTTTCTGAATTTTATTTGTAACATTTTATCAATATATATATACATATATATATATATATATATATATATATATATTATTTGCAAATGAGAACGAGAAAGTAAAACATAGTAATATTAAATATTTAATATAAAATACATATAATAATACGTATAATAATGCTAAATATTTAAAATATAATGTTACTTATTGTAAATATTTAAAGTATTTAAAATATGTTATTTATTACTTTAAATATGTAAAATATTTGTATTTTTAAAATCAAATTGTCTCTTCGTAAAGAAAATAATTTTGTTAAAATTTATGGAATAGGATGATATCCTTTTAAGGTTTGCAAAAATGACATTTTTTCGCCGTCAATTAATTGCACATTTTCCACTGACAAAACTGAAAGATATGGAGGTTTATTTTCAGGTACTTGCATTTTTCCTATTACTTTAATTGGTGAGCCGTAAGTGAAATTATCTTCAAATTCTCCATTACATGTTATTAAAACAGACAGTTTATAATAACCATCTGTAATCGCTCCAATGTAAAAATGATTATTAGATGATTTTTCAAAAATCATTTTTATATAATGTTCCATTTCTGAAAAGAAAATTAAAATATTTTAGATAATAATTAATTCATATAATTAGGAATTTTAATGAAAACAAATATACAGAATGTTTCAGAATTGATAGTTGAAATAAAAGAAGCATATTCTACTAAAACTTAAATTAAATTCTTTTGATTATGTTAGTAAACACAAAATAATAATAACATAATATATATTAAAATGTCTGTTCCTATAATGTAACTGTTATATAACAGAGCATGTCACGTAACTGTTATCTTATTAAAACGGACTTTTTAATATATATGTTATGTTACAGTTACTTTGTGTTTACTGAGTATATTTAATTATATTTGATAATTGTTGTTATGTTTGATTATTGTTATTATTTGATATCGTTAAATTGTTATATTTGATTATTGTTATTATGTTTGATATTGTTATATTTGATTATTATTATTAAATTTACAATTAAAAATCAAAATTTGATTTTGGATAATCAAAAAGTTTTAAATTTAAATATATTGATTAACATATAAGAGAGATTATAATATTAAATTATCTATTATTAAACCACTTTTGGTTCTGGCATTTTGCATTTTAATCAAAGAAATTGTTTCAATTTCTTTTGGTATTTTATAAATGCCAATAGGAACGACAATAGTGAAA